GCACTTTTGGATGATAGACAGTGGAGTCCTATTTCCTGTGAATTGCTTAATTGCTTATTTTATGGTCGATTGCCTTGACTTTTACAATTTACTATTGTAGTTGGTAAAGTGTATTATTAATATTATTATTATACAGGATTTATATAGCGCCAACAGTTTGCACAACAGCGCTTTACAATATAAGTAAGACATTACAATCACAATACAATTCAAGATATGTAGGTAAGGAGGACCCTGCCCCTGACAGCTTACAATCTAAAAGGGAGAGGCAAGTGATACACGAGGAGGTAGCTTAGTGGGGATGAATTGTTTGAGAACGTGATGGTTGAGTGGTTTGTTTGAGGTGGGATACTCTTCCCTGAAGAGATGAGATGATGAGATGAGAAGTGTGTTATATTCCTTTTGTATTTCTTGAACATTTCAATAAAAAAAACTTTGAAATAGAAAAAAAAATGTATTCTAAAATAGAAATAAACTTTCCACCATGGATAACAATAATGGATTTCCCCTTTGTGTTTTCCCTAGTATTGTGTTTGCTATCATAATTGTGGCTTTATTCAGTATCATGATATTCTAGGTTGGGGTAGAAAACATCGGCACTCCAGCTGTGGTACTTCATGGAGACACTGCAAGTTATAAAAAATATGGGAGGTTTCAAGGGGAGCATTTCACCCTTCCCAAACCATGGGTGTTGTATTTGGGTAGGGTGAGATTATCAAGGACAGTATTCATGAGTGGCAAATGGGGTCTTTGATGCTCAAATGCCTGTTTAAAGACTGATCCTCTGATTCAGGATATCAAAGAAGCGGACAACTATTGGGTGGCCACCCTATTAGATTCCGGATACAAGGGGAAAATGGGTGATCTGCTGGCACTATTCCAGAGGGAGCCCAAAATGTGGCACTCTGAGGAGGTGCTACATAAGAATGTGCCTCAAGCAACTGCTGTGGAGGCACCCGTGCGTGCACGCTCCCAGCTGTGCCCGGAAGTGGCTGTCCATAGACACACACAGCCCTGCAGCAGGGCACGCCTCTCCGCCCAGCAGGTTGATTGATGACAGAAGGAGCCTGTGGCTCCTCTGCCCTCATTCTCCTCCTCTGCGACCAGGAAGTTCGGACGGAGGATCGATTCGGGGACCGGCGGCAGTGAAAATCGGCACTGATAGGTGAGTGGGGGGTTGGGGGTGACTTGGTAAGATACTGGGCATTTTTTACCTTATTGCAGAGAATGCGGCAAAAAGCACCCAGCTTTTAGTAATCCTTTAGGGTACCTGAATGCATTTTTAAGATTTAACTCCTGAGTTTAGCGTCACTTTAAGTCACTGCAAACTCTCCAGCCAGTCCCATGCTTCTTCTGCACATGAACAGACAAATGTATTCATTCATATACATTGTGGCTTATAATAGGTGGCCGCCTCATATGAATTAATAGAATTTTCTTCACACGTGCGAATGAGGGATCGTTCAGAGTTTGCAGCAACAGGTCAGGTGGATCTCTGGAACGTGGACAGGTGTAAGGTGCTGGAAGAATATTTTAAGGATAAATATACAAACGTATATGGTGATCCTTTACATTTTTATTTGCAAAAAGTAGATTTGTAATAAAAAAAAGTTAAAATATCTTAGGGATCTCCACTAAATGTTAATGCGTACCAGCTGAGCACGGCAACAGCCATATCATGGAAACAAGTTTCATTTTCAGCAAAATAGGTGTGGTTAAAGTTCTTATTTTAGTTTCACTTTACTATGGCAAGACACCAAAAAGGCAAAGCCATCAAAGAGGTAAGAGCTCTCTATCTCTATCTCTATCTCTATATCTCTCTCGATAATATAACGGGTAAGCTACAAATAGTAGGGCGGTAATCAAACCTACAACCTGGTGTCGAATGATTATTGGTATGAAAACAAGTCTAAAAATAAAGTGATCTACGTAACTGCTGACCCCTAACTCCTACTCCCTCACTTGTTTTTAAACCTTTTATATTGGAGCATGAAAACATAACCTGAAGTCTACATTATCTCTTAACTTCATCTTTAACCCCTAACCTCTACTTAACATTACAACCTTAAAGTATACCTAACGCCGATACTTTTCTTTTTGCATGTAGGGTAGGGAGGAGTTACCTGTTTTGCTATCTGTGCCTCACTTGGGAGACAGATGATATCAATTAATTTGTTGTAAATTACAATATTGCTGTATAATAGGGATAGCCAACCTCGGCACACCAGCTGTTGTGAAACTACAGGTTCCATGACAGCCACAGGCATGCCTCCTAGAGGCAGAAGCATGATAGGATTTGTATTTTCACCACAGCTGGAGTGCTGAAGTTGCCTATCTCTGCTGTATATTATGAAACATAGGGATTTATATGTGTAATCTCTTAAAGTTACTAAAAGGTTCACTAAGAAAGTGTGCTAATCAAAATTATTAATATACAGATGATCACTAAAATCAATAATCAAATTAATGTTAAAGTGACACGAAACAAAACTACAAGCTCATGTTTAATTTACTAATTTGCATTGAAACCATAGTCCATCACAGGAGTGAGCTTGGAGCGGTGGCTACTTTACAACACGCATAGGGACCATGGGGGAACAAAAGTAGCCCCCCCTCCAGAAGGAAGGAAAGTTTCAGCACCAATTCAGAGACGATTTGAGCGTCTACAGCCGAGTGAGACACAAATAAGATACAGTTTTGTTTAATAGGTACTTGAATTTTTTTTTAAGATTTAACTCCTGAGTTTAGTGACACTTTAAATAACCAAAAAAAAGTTATACACTGTAGCCAGTACTTAGATTTGGCAGCATCATTACTTTTAATTTTTTAGGCTAAGAGGGTTTACATATTCTTAAAGGAACAGAATGAATGTCAGAATGTCTGATCCATAAATGCTTCTTCTTTACATGATTTGTTGTTTAAAGTGAACAGATTAAACACTTTAGTCAATCACTTCCATAATGCATATGTAAGGTGTTCTGAAATATGAACCCGCCTTGAAATCACGGTATATATGCACGCTAACCTGAAATTCCGAGCACATATGAGCAACTGTATGCAGGAGAAATGCACACAGACAATACTGGTAAAATAGTTGAACTTTGCTCACTGCGGAGTAAGATTTTATTTTCATTTTTCTAAAACAGGAAACGCGGTCTAGTAAGGGAAATGAAAAAAAAAAAAGTGATTTCCTGTCACTGAATAAGGTATGAAAAGAAAACTCAGATGGATGTTTTATTGTTCAACACAACATTTCACCTACCAGCCATTTTAGGTTTTTTAAAGCATAAAGCCTGAAAGAAAACAGAAAGTACAATTCTCCTATAACCTTTATAATCCAAAACAACCTGATCTGTGCATACCTCCAATGACTATTTCAATTTGTTAGTGCACCCACTGTTGCAGGATTGAACTGTAGTAACCATTATTAGTTATGACAGTGTATTACAGCGTCTTCCAGGACCAAGAACAGCTGCTGTGCTGAGCGGTTTCCGCTGTGCTGTTAAAAAACAAGAGGTCACACACTCAGCATGGTGGCCATTAAAAGAATGCCTAGTATTTTTCTCAATACATGATAGGCCTTCTCTGATTGGACAAGGGGCAGTGCTGTCACATCACCACCCCTCATCCAATCACGTACACATGTAGAAAAAAAATAAAGGGTACATTCAAGTCTTTTCTATAAAGTGTTAAATTTAACCACTGATAGCATTGGGATAGTAAAAATTTAACCAGATATAGTGGGTGTGGGCTTTCAAAAACACTCAGGGGTCTATTCACTAAGCTGCCCTAGGCAGCCGAGTGACTAATCGACCCCAAGTTATGTGAGCCGACCGCTGTTTGGCTTTTCACTTCAGGCTGGTACGGCTGATTCCACCCGTATATCTACCCGTATATATACCCGTATGCTTAGCATGTTCGGTCGACCCGAAGTCCAGAAGGAGTTCGACTCAGCCGATCCAAAATCCGGCAGGCTACTCGCTGCTGTTCGCTCTATTCTCATCGATGCCGAACAGCAGTGAGTAAATAGCCGAATGCCACTGAGCGGCATTTGGCTCGGCTGTTCTGCTTGGTCCCTCAGAGGCACCGAGCAGAACAGAAAAAGAGTGAAAAAAGTAAATAGAAAACGATTGTGCGTAGCTAGCAGTAACAGCTGGCTCCGCCAAACTGTTTTCTATTGGCCGGGCGGTTCTGCTGCCGTCAAAAAAAAAAAAAGAACACACCATAGGAATGCATAGCTAGATTCCTATTGGCTATTTTACTTTGCAATAGCCTGATGGAGAACTGCAGGTCCCCCTCTGCTGATTGACAGCAGCAGTGGGCGGGTGAAATAGCTAGTTTGCTATTGGCTATTGCAAATTGAAATAGCCTATAGGAATCTAGCTATGCATTCCTACGGTGATTTCTCTTCTTTTTTTTTTCTTCTGACGGCAGTTGGCAGCTCCGATGTCAGGAGAAAAAAAAAAAAACGAGCAGGGAAAGGTTTACTCTGCTCGATCGAGCAGAGTGAACCTTTCTGGGAGAAAGTGTTTCTCTCCGGGCGGCCGGGAGCCTATTAGACTCCCAGAGCGTTCGTGGGAGGAATGACAGATGGCGTCCCTGGTTAGCTGGTAACCGAGGATGCTGATCTCTAAAAGTGGGCTGAGCCCACCATTCGGCCAGCTTCGGCTTTCACCGCGGCTCAGTCGAGCCGAGGCATATGCCTTCGGCTTGACTGAGCCGCTCGGCCAACTTCGGGAGCTGTAGGGCTATAGTGAATAGCCCATACAGCAGCCCTTCAGTTCTCCTGAACCGAAGGGGTCCTGGGGCCGAAGCTAGCCGAAGGATCAGCCGAAGCTACGGCCAGATCCTTAGGCAGCTTAGTGAATAGACCCCTCCCTTTTTTTTGTATTATTAGGCATGCTTATGATAGTAAAACATAATGACTTTCATTCCTCACAAAATAACGTGCAGTATATTTCTTACTGTAGATTATGAAAACTGCAGTCTAAAGGGATACCATGCTTGAGGTTGTGGTGGGTAACACTTCTGTGAAGGTGAAAACAGGGGACATTACTACTGAATCCACAGATGCCATAGTCAATCTAAACAATGGAACTTTGAACCAAAACTTCGGTAAGTATTACATGGTCTTAGTATATGTCTTCATATACTAAGCTCCAACCTATAGATTCCAGAAATGTGCCTGTTCATACATTGCAATAAGCTTTTTTAATCTAGTATTGATCCTTAAAGTGTATTTCCCCTTTTGCAGACAAACTGGAATAATGCCTGCTTTATATTTGTTACATACTTTCAACATAGAATAACTAACATAAAAAATATTTTAAAATTGCTGATTACATATTACACGCTCTATTCTAAAAGAAAAGTTGTGTAAACGGAATCTTCCTCTTGAATACAAGCGGGGTGTGGAGCTAATCTTTGACCCAATTAACCCTGTCTGTACTGTGCTGACAGATCTCATTATCAGTTGAAAACTAGATATGATCAATGTCCTAAAGAAGGGTATACACAGTTAGAATTCCGAACAAATGAAATGCATTTTGGAACGTTTGTTAATTTATGCGGTGAAATCAATGATCGATTTCGACCGCAATGACTAAAAGATTCGAACGAGCATGTTAGAAAATGTTTCTTGATCAAACCAAATTCTGACAGTGGATGTGGTTTTCTTTAGGGAAACGCCATTCATTCCAAACTTGAATGATAAATGAAAATCAAACAAAATTTCCAACAACAATCAAATAGTTAACAAAGGGGGGGGGGGGAGATCTAAAACAATTGTAGGAAGCTCAGTCTATCCCTGGTCTTTCTATAGGGACCGTCAGAGTTTCCTGTCCGCTGCTCAACACAGGCTGAAGAGGTCTAAGGTCTCCAAGAAGCCTTCAATTATCTTTAAAGGAGTTGTAAAGTCCCAGCATATACTCTCCTTTTATAACATCAGCATTGTAATAGGAATACATACAAGAGTTGCTTTTGATAATACAATAAAAGCTTATTTAAAAAAAAATCCCTTTTGGGTAATAAGAGCTGCCTTCCCTCTGCCCATCACTATGATGGCTGGCCCCACAGGCCAATAGTGTGGTGCAGAGGCCCAGAGGGGAAGGCCATGTTTTTGACCAAGGAGTCTGATAAATATTTTGCATTACAGAATGTCTTGCAATTGATGGCACCTTGAACAAATAATAGCTAAGGTTAGTTCCCATGCATGCCGCATGCCTACTATTTGGAACCATTAGCATTCTTTTCTACTTCAATGTCACTTCAGGTTCACTTTAACGGATTGCTCCAGCCTGACAACACCGAGATCACTGACTCTCTTTAATTTAACTTTTCAGGTGTATCCAAAGAAATACTGGCTGCAGCTGGGGATACTGTACAGAAAGAATGTGCCAGTTTAGGTATGGCCAAGTCAGACAAATACTTGTATGTTGTAATGGCTACCATTTTTCTTTCTATTTTGTCTATTGATGACTTGCTCCCTCTTGGATTCTTAATCGGGGCATATGAAAAATTTAAAGGGAATATGTTATCAATCAAAACACCATCTGGAATCTGCTATGGGCCCTGGGTGTGAGAGGTTTTTGCATCATCAGGGGACCAGTTCCAAGAACCCAGAAGAGATAGTCGGCCTCCTGATGACATAAGTAAAAAAGATGGGAGTATGGGACCACAGTCTAAATCAGAAAAAACTATTGATCCCCCATCCACGCAAACAGAATAGATGGGGAAATCCCCCCCCCCCATAGGCTATTGATAGGCTATTGTATTCTAACCAGGTGTGATGCAACAGAATACCTGAACTGTGACTATGTAAATCCTTGCTTCTCCTGGGTATGGATCTCAAATGCAGAGTATGCATTCCAGGTGGAAGGACAGAGATCAGTTATGCAGCTCGGTCTCTGGTGCCCTCTATTTGTAGAGGCTGAGAGGGAGCTGCTTCACATCATACCCCGTGTGTAGATGTGGGGAACACAGACAATCATAGGTTAGCTAAGTGGCTATGGTAAATGCTGGAACCTCCAGTCTGGGACAATTGGAGATGGTAGTCTCATAAAAAGTTAGGCAGTCTCCCTGGCCACCAGCACAACAGCTAATATCAAGCAGGGTTAATGGCTATTAGCAACCAGCAGTAGTTAACATGCAAAGTCCATGAAGTTCAGCACAACAGATATATCAAGCAGGGTTAATGGCTATTAGCAGCAGTAGTAGATAACATGCAAAGTCAATGGAGTACAAGTTCTATTTAGAATCCACAGTATCAGATGGGTCCTAGCCCATATACTTGCGGTTAGTGAGGAGTCTCTATCTAGCAGGGAGAATCAGAGAGAGGTGCTGTGTCCTGGGATATTCGGTCTGGATGGGAGGCAAGGAGGACAACTGATTGATCAGCGTCCTGCTACAACCAACAGTAGGACACTGATCAATTAGTGAGCAGAGGCTTTAAGTCGACTGCTCGATCGAGATGGGGCGGAGTCCCGAGGCACGCTTGCGCAGGTTGGACTTCCAGCCTGGAGGTGAGAGGGGGCGGAGTCCCAAGGCGGACCGCAACCCGGAACGACCCTTACAGACTACAGCGGATTGGCCACACTCAGCTCGGCGAAGAATTTTTGGACTGGCTCCTGACAAAAGTTGATTGTGGCCTGACAGGTGTTTCGTTTTGTGGACCTTCCCAGTCACTTTTACCATTATACCGGGCTAGTGGCAACTGTAACTTGGCTATAGCACTTATGCAGTAGATCTCCCTGAAGAACTGTGAAATCCCAGCAGGAGACTTAACACCACCCTCGCTCTTCTCAACAGAAAACTCAATTTTGGTTAAACTTGTTATAAAGTAAATGTATAAATATGGCCATACACCTATAGATTTTCTGCAGATGTTCTATGGTCAGATGGAAAAAGTGCAACAGATTTCTGCATCTACTCTAAACTGTGTGGATGGAGGAATCTCCCACTGGGCCAAGCTTCAGTATCTTTCTAGTCGGCCCCGCTGGCTCTCAAAATACCTGAACAATGCCTGCATCCAATCAGGTTGTTCAGGTATTTTGACAGCCAGCGGGGCCGACTAGCAAGATACTGAAACTTGGCCTAGTGGGGGATTCCTCCATCCACACAGTTTAGCGTAGATGGAGGAATCTGTTGCACTTTTTCTGACCATAGAAAATCTGCAGATAATCTTTAGGTGTATGGCCAGCCTTAGACTACTCTGTCCAAAGAGTGAAAACGTTGCTCTGTGATCTCACTGCTGAACAAATAGATGTTTTGCCCTATTGCAGGAAGTGGTAAAATACCAAATCTATTGGCAGGATCAACAGGTGATAAAACTATTACGAGGGGAACCCTGTAAATACCTGCTGGATTATTGCTAGTTACCCACAGCATGATCAATGTGATTTTGCCCATTTTTATACTTTAAAGCAAACCCTTCCCATGATAAATATGGGGGCAGACATTATTGATCATCTTCACAAGATGCTAGTTACCTGGCAATTACATTGACTCACTGGATTCAGTTCTGTATATGTCACTGAACTGATAGTTGTAGAGATGAGGAGAGGGGTGTTCTGTAGTCCTAATACACTCACTGTCCTACGGTGAAAACTTTGTTCCTCCATAATGCAGTACAGTGAGTAAGCATCTTCATCCTAGGACAGGAAATGTGTTAGGACTACGGAGGTGTTCTGTATGTTCTGCGTTCTGTCATGCATAACACACTTCCTGCCCTAGGGTGACAACGCATTTTCATAGATACATTATGATTAGTAAGTGTTGTCCCCCTGGGACAGGAAGTGTCTCACTGGCAGGTCACTATGTACAAAAAAAAAAAGCCTTAAAAGAAAACAAATGCAGCCACCACATCTAAGGGCTGGTAAGCTGCAATATATTACATTTTCCTTTCCTGGGTTTAATTGTAACTTAAAGTGTAACACCACAGGTATCCTGATTATGACAATATGTTAACCAGTTGACATCCGCGGTGTTAAACCCCCTTCCCATCCAGGCCATTTTTCAGTATTCAGCGCTGCGGTACTTTAACTGACATTTATTCCGTTGCCAGAAGTCTGTATAGCTCAGCAAATCAATCACCAGAGAAAATTGCACAAGTATTATATCATAAAAATACAATTTATAGCCCATTTACATTCATTATTTCAGGTACCCTCGGCAGTGATGAATACGCTGTAACTGAAGCTGGAAAGCTTAAGTGTAAAAAGATTATCCACTTAGTAGATGTAACATCATCGAGAATTGTGGAGTCGATGAAGCGAGCTCTGAAGGCATGTGATGAACACAAAATTAGAACCGTTAGTCTTCCAGCATTCGGAACAGGTAAAGCAATGCAAGCAAATAATAATGAAGCTTTGTTATGCTAAACATTCTATCTATCACAAACCAAAATGTAAAAAAAAAGTTTTGGCAAGAGATACACTCAAAAGAAATTTGTCTCGTAGCTCATGGTCTACTTCTCTTTTTTTAGGAACAGCTAGTTTGGATCCTCAGTCATCCATTAAATTAATCTTTGAAGGCCTTGAAGGGTACCTGACTGAAGTTGGCACATCGACCATCATTTTAGAGATTACCATTGTTGTGAACAAGCAGGATGTCTATGAGGGGTATATGACGTTTTTTCATAATTACCAGGTAAGCTTTCCAATTCTGTCACAAGTGTTTCATCAGATAGCTGTCATAACTCACAAATTTGTCTATGGGCTATGGTCAGCTGAGAGCTTTCCACGTTTGAGGTTCATGTCTACTATCTATTCAAATGAGGGGAACCATCTACCAAAAATGTTGTATACCTAGAAAGATCAAAACATTAAAGTGACATTAAGGGCAAAAGTCCCCTCCCCCCCACAGTAATAATGTAAGTACTTACCTTAAATGATGTCTCTTAATCCGATCATTTTCTTTTTTAGTGTAGTTTTTAGCTGTCCCTCCAGCGCTGGTGCGGGTCTCCGATCCAGCGCTGACTCCTCTGTCCTCCTCTCCTCTGATGTCCCACGGAGTCTGTGCGGGTGCACGCTGCTCCATAGACTTACCTTGTGTCTCTCCTTGTCTCCCGGCTGAACATCTGAACTGCGCATGCTCCCGTCCCAAGATAAATTTTCAGATGATCGGACGGGAGCGTGCGGCGGAGACACAGGTAAGTATTAAAGGAGAACTATGAGATGAGTGATTTCCACTCACCTCATAGTTCTAAGCCGACCTGTGACAATGAGACTGTCACAGGTCGGCTCAGTAGATCGGGAGGTGAGCGAACACATACCGGGTTCGCTCACCTCTCGATCCTGTCACGGCTCTCTGCCGTGACAGGGGGAGGGCTGGATTCCCCTCTCCCCACTCCGATCTGCCAGCGCTGACTGGCGGAACGGACGGGGGAGGGGGCGGGTACAGCTGGCTCTGCCTTTAGATAGGCAGAGCCAGCTGTCACTCACGCAGCTGGGCGGATCCCGTCATCTACGTCGGGATCCGCTCCAGGTGCGGCGTCTCAGTATAACTTGCAGTATACTGAGCTTAGGGTAACGGTAGGACGCTAGTTTGTGTCCTCCCGTTACCCTAAGGAGAACTATGGGGAAAATCACTCACCCCATAGTTCTCCTTTAACCCTTTTGAAAAAGCTATTTTTTTCCCCATTTTTTTTATCGTTTTGCATATGTTTACTGCTTGCTAGCAGTAGATATATGCAAAAACAAATGAGGGTTTATTAACCCTTTAATGTTCAAACTTTACGTTTTATTTTAAATTGCTGGAGCTCTCATGTGACCTTATTAATGTCAAACCAGCTAGCTGATATGCTGAGCAATTCCTAACAGAAGATCACAGCAGCAATAGATCACAGCACATATAAATGGGTATCTCTTAGCAAAGATACATATACACACATATACTGTATACTGTATATACAGTCTTTTCTGTACTAAATGAATACAAAACATCAGTACAAGCAAGTAAAAAATATTTTAAATATTGTATGTTTGTATAAATATTGCGTTATATGTATAAATATTTTATGAACTAGATAGACAAAGAAGTAAGGATTTAAAAAAACAAAGATATTATTTAGGGACTGTAAAGCCTTTTTGTGTATATACTATACTTTCATTCTTTTCAATGAAATTTGCTCAAAAGAGGTTATTGTTCACAGAACTAAAGCTCAAATTTACACACACAAGTGAGGAAGGCAACTCCATCTCGCTCCCTTTCCTGGAGATTAACCCCTTCCCAACCAATGACGGAATTATTCTGTCACAATCTTTCTGTAAAGACCAGTGATGGAATCATTCTGTCATGTGGGAAAATAAGCGCTGCTTCATTGAGGGACCTGCGCTCTTGGGGTTGATGCTGTTGCTGGGTCCCTCGGTGTCCGAAGCAGACCCTCAACAGCAAATTAGGGTGTCCCAGCACTGTGATCACTGCGATACTGTTACAGCTACTGTTACTGATCTGGCTTGCAGGTCACTGTGTTGTGGAGCCATAAGCCGGATCAGTGTGCTATAAAAGATTCCAAGTAGCTCGGAAGAGAATACAGTGTCTCCTCAGAATACTAAACATCCAAAGCCCCTGTAAATAAAAAAAAATAACCCCAGTTTAAAAAAGTTTTAAATTGTTTTACAAATTTAAAAAAAGGAAAAAAGTTAAACTAAAATGTTTTATAAAAAAAAGATAGTGCCGAGGAGGCTATTAAAGTTAGGAGACAAACATACCAAATTCTAAAATCGTTCAACACTAAAATTGTATTTCACTCCTTGTATTTTGTGACCTATAACTCCCAAAATAAACTGAAATCCCAGACATATGATATATTCTATAAAACAGGACAAGTAAAATAATTTATTATGTTAGGTACACTAATTATGTACACATTAATATTGCCAAAACTGTGAGAAAGTGTGTTTACAAAAAAAAAAATATATAAGAATTTATATATGCATATGTCACATCAAATTAAAGCCCATTTTGTCCTTTAACCACTTGAAGACCAGGCATTTAGACCCAGTTCCTGGCCAGGCCATTTTTCAGTATTCAGAGCTGCGATACTTTGACTGACGTTTATTCCGTCATGCAACGCTGTACTGAAATTAATTTTATACCATTTTTTGGGGACAGATAGAGCTTTCTTTTGGTTTTAATTTTTTTTTCCCCACTAAACTGTATTGCTATCACAAACGGGGGCTAATAAAACCCCCCTATGGGATAGCAAAATATGTGACAGGTCCTCTTTATGGAGACATCAGGGGTCTTCGTTTTTTTACTCCAGCCGGCCCGCAGGCAGTTAAAAAACAGTATATAATATGTGTAGGTGCAATGATTGAGGAAAATGGAAATTATGGTTCAACAAACACATAGCAAAAATGACAAAATTGCTCAGTTTCCCAGGAACTAAAACATTTTCTGAAGCTGTCACTAAGTAGTTAAATTAGAAAGTGACAGTCTGAATGAAAGAAGTTTCTCCTTTGCTCTTCTTTTTTTTCAGATTTTTCAATTTTTTGGTACTTTTATTTGCAAAGTGAAGATGTAATATAAATAGTTAAAAAAATATCTGTTCAAAGTAATTAACTTAAAAGAAATTGTAAAAACCAATTGTAAAATCAAAACAATTTTCGTTTACCTTTAAACTTCTACAACAGCCCACAAGATGGTGCAAAAACCTCAGTCCATCACCTAGCACACTACAATCCTTTCCAGAGAGAAACATGGAGGATACCATTGCTGAGCACTTTATCCTAAAATACCAGCTGCCTGGCTGTCATACTGATCCTCCTACTTTAGTACCGTTAGTCTCTAAACAGAGCAAATATGTACTTTTCTGATCTGCATACTCATTCCAGGTCAGTGGCTTAGAAAGTAGTGAGGCCAGAGACATCAAAGTCAGCTAGCATTTTCAGAAGTAGGTGAGCAAAGACAGACTTCATATTCCTCTTTGGAAAGGTATACTTTAATACAAAAAACAAAAACATACAAATGGGTGCACAGTCTACCATGGTACCATTATGTAGGCCATCTTTGACAAGCTCCCTTTAAATAATGTCCTCTTTTTATGTAGAACTATATTTACACTGATTTATTTTATTGTTATTTTTCTTATTCAGACGAATTATTCTTATTTCAAGGCTAATGGAAAAGCCATAGTATTAAACAAAGGCGACATCACTAATCAATCTGTGGAGTGCATTTTGAACTTAACAAACTCATCTCTAAATCAGTCTACGGGTAAGTATATTGACAGGGAGGAGACAGGCATAGCGTGAATGCCATTGTGTGCAGATGTGTCCGGTATGGCAGATTCCAAAAAGGGAAAATTACAGAGCACCATATTGGTGGTAACAGAGACAAGATAAGTCTCTTTTAAAAATTACTAGAAAGGAAAGGATAGAGAACTGGCTACGGGAACGGGTCCAGAGAGTATCTGTAAATGGCACCTTTTCGGACTGGGCTAGTGTAATGAGCGGTGTGCCTCAAGGATCTGTGCTGGGTCCGATACTGTTCAACCTATTCATTAATGACATCGGGGAGGGAATAAATAGCCATGTTTCCGTGTTTGCGGACGATACAAAAATAGGGAGGGTACTAGAAACGGATCGTGACAATATAACATTGCAGGAGGACCTGGATAAAATAGGGGAGTGGGCAATACTATGGCAGATGAGGTTTAATTTCGATAAATGCAAAGTAATGTACTTTGGACATAAAAATAAACAAATAGGCTATACAATCATGGGTATGCCGCTAGGGAAGTCAGAAATAGAAAAAGATTTGGGGGTCATTGTAGACCACAAACTGAATGGTAGCTTGCAGTGCCAAGCTGCGGTAAACAAAGCTAGCAGGGTCTTGTCCTGTATTAAGAAGGGGATGTATTGCAGGGACAAGTCTATAATTGTGCCTCTATATAGATCGTTGGTTTGGCCACATCTGGAGTACGCTGTCCAGTTTTGGTCGCCGGTACTGAGAAGGGATGTCCTTGAACTGGAGAGAGTCCAGCGGAGGGGAACAAAACTAATTAGGGGAATGGAGGACCAGAGCTATGAGACAAGGCTTCTGACCTTAAACATGTTTATGCTGGAATTTAGGAGATTAAGGGGGATCTGATTTTCATGTACAAGATGTTCAATGGTGACAGCAACATTGGCAACAAACTGTTTGAGATTACCTCCATTACAAAGACTAGAGGCCACCACCTAAAGTTGGTGGAGAAAATATTCCAGCACAATGGGCGAAGAGGGTTCTTTACAGTAAGAGAGTTTAAGGTCTGGAACTCACTGCCATCGGCAGTGATTTCAGCCAAGAGTGTAGATTTGTTCAAGAAACGTTTGGACAATTTCTAGAGGGACCGTAATATCCAGGGATACCAGTATCCCTAAGAATGAGATGATGCTTGGACCTATATGGGTTGGACTTGATGGACGTATGTCTTTATTCAACCCCAAATACTACGTAACTATATGAAAGTCAGGGTGTTGGCTATAGCTACCATGCCCCAGAAGTGCTGCACCGTAGACAGTAAAAAAGGAGGTATGCTTGCATTTCTTTTTGGCATGCAATGCAAGCTGGGTATTCCACCAAGATGGAAGGAGGGAGGGTTTGCCTGCTATCAGGTAGCGTGACCATCTGCAGAACATGAATTTAATAGATATAGAAAATATATAAATGGAGCACTCACAACCAAAAGAGCCACTGATCGTATGATTGGTCTCTCCTAGCCTGTCAAGGTCATACAGTTCCATAGCTGCCCCCAAAGCACTTATTGACCTACCAGTGGTGACCAATTAACTGACTGCCACACTGAATTTATCAACTTTGGGAGAGAGGTTAGGGCACAGGACACCCCTAGGATCATAGCAGACTCCGATGGAAGAAAACTTACTCTCAGCCTTCTTGGGTTGAGAGCCTCTAAGCTGACCCAGCATCCTAAAAACTTAAGTTACTGGCTGTAGATCAGTTAAAGTAGCAGTAAATTCCTCAGGTAAACACCACACTTCAGGCAAGGTCCTAGCTATGCTTTAGCTTTTTTGGCACCTGTATATGAAATTCCTCCTTGAGTTCCCTTCTGGGTATAATTCCACTCCTCTTGGTAAAACCACATCCAGCAGGAGGCCTGGGGGGAAGAGAGCTTCTGGCAGGTCCTTTCTAATATCTATATTCTTTCCCAGCTTGCACCACTGTCAATAAACATCTTGGTGGTTGGCCAGGAAGACATAAATATTCATCACTCAGTAATATTGTATCTTCTTGATCTATTGCCAGGGGCACTCCCCAGAAGCAGGCAGAAGCAAACAATAGCACTGAGCTTAGGGAAACCTATAGAAAGCTGAACTAACCCCTCTAGAGTCCATTTGAAGAAGAACTCTTCTAGACAATGGGTATATAAATGTTGTACCATTTTAAATCTAACACTAGTAAATATGTGAAAACAAAAAAGATAAATATTATTCTCAAATATATATCTAATGAGGAACTGTGTTAATTAGGATGGTAGACTTTCATTTTTGTATTTTTTAACTTTTTGTTGTGTTTTCAGGTGTGTCCAAAGCCATTTTGAATGCTGCAGGGGATGCGGTAAAGGATGAATGCAAAAGCATTGGTACGTTTTTATACTGTTGATGATGAATTAATGTACATTTGTGGATGTGTTTTCTAAATATAGTTATACTGGGAAATTTCCAAAGGGGACACAGTCTTAAAGCACAGTTTTTGTAGAGTAGGTAAGAGTTAGAACGTCTAAAAATATGTTGTTGTCCTGGTGACAACACCTCCTTGCATTTGTTGTTTGGGCATAACATGAATGTATGAAAAAAAACCCCGTGGGATCAAAGACAGAAATAAAAAAGCCATTTTAACTGTGCCCCACTGTATTTACTATGTTTTTTAGAGAGCCATGTACTTGAAAGCTGACTACAAGAGTACAGCTACACGTGCATAAGAACAGCATCCTGTACCTCCAAGTAGTAAGCTCAGAGATGCAAACTGACTATTATTATTATTACTACAGGTATTTATCTAGCGCCAGCAATTTACGCAGTGCTTTACATAGTTGCACTTTCACATCAGTCCCTGCCCTCAAGGAGCTTACAATCTAATGTCCCTATCTCGCATACATACATACATACCGGGCCTCTCTCCTCCAGGCTGCTCTGTAGCTGCAGTGGCTGAGGAGGAGAAGAGCCGGTTCAGCTGCCTCTCTAACTGCCCGCTTCAACGATCGAGCTCCTTAGCAGCCACCTGCAGCTTCCTCCGCCCATTTCTTCTGCTATGGACTGGAGGTCTTTATGTCTCTATAGGTCTCGATCTATGTGCACTGTAAGTCTCTGCACTCTGCGTCACTCCACTGACCCCCGCACTCTGCGTCACAGTTTTAGAAAAACTGTCACATGACACTAAAAAAAAGGTATTGGTAATTGAAATCTGTGATTACTTGAGGAAAGGTATCTGTACTTGGTGTAGAAAAAATTATATTGGTGGATCTCTACTCCCGTCCATACCCGTACCAAGGTACCGACACGTAGTAATATGGATAGGAGGTAGAGTTAATTCCCTATAAGTACAGTGCATAGGGCGCCGGGGAGGGGTGCAAAAATGCACCTTTGCCTGTATAGGCAAAAATTCTTGCACCTTCCCTTCCTACCAGCATGTCTTTGGAGTGACTACAACAGCATGGATCTGCTTTCATACCTGGCATTGTTCAGACTTAAAAAGGAAAAGAGGTGAACTGAAAGAATCACCAGGTATTTTGTAGCAAATTAATATATGAATAATATATGAATAATATGTGATGAGGATGAGCTGATCAGCATAAAAAATGGTACCGGATTTAACTCAAAAATTAATTCCTCAAACATTTTTGAGTTTAATCCGGTACCATTTATTTAGTCTCTGGACTTGGTAACGCACTGGACTCTGCACTTAGTAACGCACTGTACTCTGGACTTAGTAACATTTGAGGCCCTGCAGAACCCACCTAAGATTCTGCAGAGCCCACCTGAGACCCTGTACAGTCCTCCTGAGAGTGACCCTGCAAAGCACACCATAGATCCTGCACAGCCCATTTGAGACTCTCTATGGAGGGCTCTGCAGGGTCCCTTTCCCTGCACATGCAGCTCCTTACCTGCCGCTGCTGGAGCCTGGCCTCTCACGCCGCAGGACCAGTGCTGCTGTGGCCCACCATCTCCCGCCATCGGAAAGGCGCTGACAGGGCCTGGCCACTTCCACCACTGAACCAGCGCTGCTGGGCCCCGGTCTCCTTCACCCCCACTTCTGTTAGTGGGCTGGGGGGCCTGGGCCTTCCAAGCTGCCCAGGCCCCTTACATGGGTATCAGCCGTACCCCCCCTGATGACAGCCCTGAATATGACATATAAGGCATTCTGTTCATTAACAGAATATTTATTTTCTACAGGTTCACTGAAATTAAATGGCATTGCAATAACAAGTGGAGGAAAGCTTCAATGTAAAAAAATCATGCATACTGTTGGACCAGTTGAGGTGAAACACTATGAGGAATTTATTCATAAAATTCTGCTTGAATGTTGCAAAAACAGCACTAAAAGTTTAGCAATTCCAGCCATTGGAACAGGTATGATCAAATAGTTTGTAAATGTAATAATCAGTCAATAGGCAGCTAATTTTATTACATGTAGCGATGGGAACACTGATTGTTTGGGAAAATACCGGATCTGCTATTTGTTATATTGACTATGGAGGCTCCAGCTGGACTAACGGTTATCAGGGGTGATTGGGTGCGTGGGTAGACCAGTAATACAGTCTGGTTTTGACAGAGATGGCAGTAACGGCTATCCCCTTTCCACTAATATTCATGCCATAAACAGGCCAGCAATACAAGACATACTGTATGTGTAAAACTGTTTAGTATGCCTATATGTAATGTTACACAATAAGGTGAATTATCTGTGTCACCAGCAGGTAACAAAAGGCTCTAGCAGCATTTGGTCCTCTCCAGTGACTCTGAAGATGTGAATGTTACACTGTAGAAACCATAAGGGTCGGTTCACACCACAAACTCCACAAGTAGTATTTTTGCAGAGCGCACTGGACCGGAACGCAAGCACTAATGTGCCTGTGTTCCGGTGGCGGGCGATCACACTGCGGGCGGGGGGCATGGCTGCGGTGCCATTGACTTGGCCCACTGGGCCAAGCTTCAGTATCTTACTTGTCAAAATACTTGAAAAATCTGATTGGATGCAGGCATTGTTCAGGTGTTTTGAGAGCCACCGGGAGTGACTAGCAAGATACTGAAGCTTGGCCCAGGGGGAGATTCCTCCATCCACACAGTTTAGTGTATATGGAGGAATCTGTTGCACTTTTTCCATCTGACCATAGAAAATCTGCAGATAATCTATAGGTGTATGGCGAGCTTTGGAGATAAGCAGCTGAGAGGCTTGTTACATTTCAACATGAAAATTATGCATCAGTCTGGTAGCAAGCTCTGACTTTGTATGTATCATCTTTTTAGGTATCGCTAGTGTTCAGCCAGAAGACTCTATCAAAGCTATACTGAGCGCTATTCTGAGGTACTTGGAAAAGCCATCAACCATAACTCTTGAATCTGTCAGCATAGTTGTTCTCCAAGAAGATGTTTACAAGTCGTATCTCAAGTTTTTTCTAGAAAACAGGACTGAACTGCAGGTGACTATAAACACATTAAACAGGAACTGCACTGCCCCTTGTATTTTATTTTTTACCCCTCATACGTTTTGTGCAGCATTGTCCTTAAATCACATACTCACCTGGCCAGCAGATCCAGCATTGTGCCATTGTTTAGATAACACAGTGCGGTTCTAGCGCTTTCATCTTGGTGCTCCTTGGTCATCAGGAGCTGGATGCCTCTTCTGGGTTCAGACGGCCAGCCCCTGAGGATGCATGCAGCTTCACCCACCTGCCCCTCTGTGTTCCCCTATGTCATTCTTACTTAGACAAGGTGGCGGAGGGGTGGGAGGGGAAGGCAAGGCTGGAATAAAAAAGTTAGAAAAAGTAAAAAAAAGTAAAAAAAATAATTTCTGCTGGTGCTGCAGGGGGAGAGAGGGGCGGGGGGG